TAATGTGAACCACTTCTTCAGAGTTAATAAATAACCGAGTGAAATTAAACCAAGTGTATATAGTACAAAGGAAACAATGTAGAATATTTTCGGTATAATCAAAATCATAATATGCCCGAACATGTCTTATGTTCTCATAAGGATAATGAATGATAACTTTGGAATCTATTAATGAACCAATACTATGCATATATTTTTATCGCATAATTGCTAAATAACTAAACTATTAATATCTATATCCCTCTTATTATGAACTTTGTTTTGACTTATGAACTATTGTCATACGATTTACCGTTCTTGAAATATGCCCTGTCTGTCACTTACTATCTCCCCTATTTACAGCCACATTTGGTTGAATATTGTACAAATGTTAATTCTTATTTTATGGTACGATGTAGTCTGTTTGATTGGTAAACAAACTCTGTATGTTTGAAATATAATGATTCATACTGCAGAGGCTGAGATTAGTGTTCTGAACTTGCCTGACTGGGCTAGGCAGAAGCAGGACCGACAAGTACTCTACGGGTTTCGTGTGTCACTGGTTCGATTGATAATTAACTGCTCTCTGATTGACAGTCTTATCACATTGGACATTATCAGGGCATCCACTCATCCACAAGTTATAACAATATCTCAATGTCAAGTTACTCTTGATCAAGGTGAATTCGTATGGTCTGTCACTGTATTAATTTCTGCGTTAGAATGTGGGAACGAAAAATGTATGCATTTGTAATATGAAGTAGTGGAGTTGAGATTGTGTGTGTGTGTAGATTATGTGGAAATTTAATAGTGTCAAGTGTATTAGTTTGGATGAATATTCAGACCTTGTTTCTTATTGAGGGCAGAGGGATTTATCATTATGTGGAACGCTGTGGCTATTCGTCACTCTGTATAGTTGGGAAAGCTTTTCTGAATTATTTTGATATTTTTAATATTGATTATTTATATTTATTAACAAATAACTCATTTACATATAAGTGTTGTGAAGAAATCACTTTAGATTTTATCAAACAGACATTACAAGGTATTTACATACTCAAGTCTGTTATATCTCATGGACATAGGCCACCGCTTTTCCAACCAACTCTGTCTTGGGCTCACTTTTCCAGTTGCTCCCAAGTGCTATTCATGAACTTGATGCATGCCTGTAACTCTCAACGCCATGTGTTCTTTTCTCTGCTTCGCCTACTTTTTGTTGATGAGGATTCCAAGTTAACGCTTATCAAGTAATGCTGTTTGATGATCTCCACAAATTCAGTCCTATCTTCCTCCAGCTTCTTTTCCTAATTTGTTCTCTGTCACAGTAATTCATTGTTAGTGGTCTCCGACCGATGGATCTACAATATTTTTTGTAGACAACCTTTTATAAATACCTGTATGTTTTTGATTTTGGTTGTTGTAGTTCTCCAAGTGTCAGCTTCTTACAATAAGAATGTTTTAACGTTAGTTGTGAAAATTTTTACTTTATTCTTGGTTGGCAATTGTTTTAAGTCCCAGATATTCTTCAATTCCTGGAACATTCTCCTTGCTCTGCCAGTTTATACCTTTACATCTCATTCAAATGTTTGGATGTAGGTACATAACTACACACATTAGAGTACAAAATAATGAATGAAAAGTAAACTTCAATGATAGAATGGAACATTACTTAAAAATACTGTTGCATAAACCAGTGGGAATAGTTAAGTGGGAGAAAATAAAGATTTGGTTATTTTATTTCAATCAAACAGTATAAGAAGACGATGAAATTTTAATGATTTAACATATTTTTTCAATACTTTTTTACCTGAACTATTTTCTTATTTATTATTAAGAAATCTTACTTACTTACGCCTGTTACCCCTTGTAGAGGAGCATAGGCCGTCCACCAGCATCCTCCATCCAACTATGTCCCAAGCAATCCTTTCCACTTCTTTCCAGTTAACATTCATCCTTTTCATATTTACTTCTATTTCCCGATGTAATGTGTTCTTTCGCCTTCCTCTTTTCCGCTTCCCTTCACCATTCCAAATTAGGGCTTGCCTCGTGATGCAGTTTGGTGATTTCCTCAATGTATGCCCTATCCACGTCAAACGTATTTTCCTCATTTCCTCTTCAGCTGGTTTGTCCTCTCCCATAAAACACTGTTGGTGATAGTATCCGACCAGTGAATGTTGAGTATTTTGTGTAGACAACTGTTTATAAATACTTGTACCTTCTTGACGATGGTTGTAGTAGTTCTCCACTTTTCAGCTCCGTACAGCAGGATAATATTGATAGATATTAATCAATAAATGTAAACTGGTCTATGATATTTTAAGCATACAGTGAATAAACATTAAAACCCTGGATTAACAATATTTCATTTCATTACATATATTCGACTAATATACTGATAGAAGATCTTGTCCTCATTGTCATACATCATCAACTATAATAATAATCACAATGTGGATAGTGATAATCAACTGTTTGTGCATTATTGATTGATTTATTAATGATTATTTATTAAAACAAAATCAATAATTGGGTGTAAATTGTAAACAATTGGCAAAATATTTGTTCCTGTTTATTGTATTTTTATGATTTTTGTCAACTACACCGATGAGTATTCATTTACATTAGTATTAAATAGTCCAATAATAACAACAAGATTTATTCAGAACAAAGTGAATTCATTACTCCATTTTACAGATTTTTATTAGTTGTGTATACAACGTAAAATTAAGTTTGTTAAGATTATCATTAGAGATAAATTGTTTAACATATGTTAGTCAGTGAAGTTTATGTGAGTATTCGAAATGTAACCAAAAGAATCATAGAGATAAGAAGAAGAATAGAGCATAAACAGTTAAAATCGATGTGTATTTATATGTTGGAAAGTAGTAACTCGGAAAAAAATAGGTGATGTTGTAAGTCATAGTTATCGTAATCAGAATAAAACAAGTTATTGAAAGGTGATGTCAGAAGAGTATTGATCTATCAATGAATCGGATGATGGACAGCTGATATTGTATTACGAAACCAGTAGAGTAGCAGGAAAGCTTCTTTGATCAAATGACGTCTTGATTCTTTCTGAAATATAATCTCTTTTGAACGGAAGATGAATGAGAACAGGTATTTTGCATATAGTTGGTTATCTAACATAAAATATCAATAAATTTTAGCTCTCTTAAATAGACTTTTGACCAGAAATTTTTTGTAACTGGTAGGCCAAAAGTTGTCATGGTTCGAATACTGTCCCATCCACGTTTTATCCCTACATACTCTTATCAACAGTTTCATTGTAAAACGATCAGAAAACTTTAGCTGGTTATCACTTTTACATTCCATCGTAAATGTTTGGAGGAAAATTGTTGAAGTGACTAAGCAACCAAGAAGCGTGATCTCTATAGTCACAGATAGTGAACGTATCAACAAATCTGAAATAGTATGTTGTGTTTTGGATCTCATAATTTAGTTTGCTTTGTTCTATTTTATAAATAAAGATAATAACAAAGATTGATTCTAGTGGTGATCTCAAGACCGCTACATCGGTTTGTTTTTATGGTTCACTGTTGCATTGGAAGTGACCCATTTAAAGGCAAAGGAAGTAGTTCAAATTGTTTTAAAATTATATTAATAGTTTCCCCTAACGTTATGGTCATGAATAATTAGCAAACATTCTGAGAAATTAACAGTATGGGATCGTTATTATCATGTTCTAACTAGTGACTAGCTTTGAGAGGAAATTCCTGGAGTTCTAATGAGAAGCCATGACCAGTGGAGTTAATCGGTGTCAGGTGTGACGTAGTTTCCCACCAAAGACAATGGGAGACGGTCGATCAATATCGTGGACTGGTTGACGTTAGACACTAATACCGTTGGATCCCAGCTCAGTCATTCAGTATATAATAGAGTTCGAGCGAAACCGAAGGTCCTGGGTTTGAGTCACGCGTGCAGGGTCGTAGATATGCACTTCTGAGGAGTCACATACTAGGACAAGATAGCTGTCCAGTTCTTCCGGATTTTCAGTGATGACCAAACATTAATCGGTTCATGATTTCAAATAAAAGAATTTATCTGATATGTACTCAAATGATCCATTTCTTTAGAAAATTGAAATGTCTTTTTAACTGTGAGGCTATTTTTCCATGAACTGATTCTAATAATTTAACCAACCATCAAACCAACTTATGATGAGTTCACCTTAAATATTATAGATCTTAATGGGTTATAGGATTTGTGTACTTTAGGGGGATCATGCATTAACAGTAGTACTTACCCTTTCGCTGTCTGATTGCTCCTTAAATTTTTTATAAATACTGCTTCCGATTTTCGAAATGACACTATTCTTAGATTTATCAACTTGCACTCCTGAAGTACTATTGAGAATTTGTAATATTTCATAAACATAATCTTTCGGATTGATTATTACAACAGTTAAATCTTTATCTAGTCTTATTATCCTTCAATCCTGACATATGTTCCTTAGTTAATATTTTGAATGTAGGTTACGGAAATAAAACGTTGATTTACAATATTACCCATGTTGGAATATAAACTAGCCTATTCGGCGTGAATTCATAGGTTTCAGGTCGGTTTGTTAGTACAGGCTTTCGAATTACGTCAGTATAACAATCTTGTTGATAATTTTATTCGGGACATCAAATTTAAATCCAAGAAAGTTTTACTCCGGAGATTCAGGGAATAGTTCACCAGGTATTCTATTAGGTTTTTATCAAAAGATATATATATGGTTTCCAATTACAGATAGTAAAGTACTCTATTACTATTGATAAGAGATTAAAAATTAGGGGCAATAGACCATTGGATTCCAATTCACGGTAACTTAAAGTGAGAAGACTGAAAAACCAACGGGTTCTGAGTTCGATTCCAAATAGAATAGTGAATATATACTCCCAAATAGTTTTATATCAGAAGAAAGATTTTTGTTCAGTTCTTTCTAATTCTTACGCGTAATCCAACTAATGTCGATTCATGACTGAAATCATTATTATATATATATATATATATATATATATATATATATATAGGAATTTATTGAAATTATACAAAATATTTGATACATGTATGGTCAATTACTAAGAACACCTTGATAAAAATAATTTGAATAGACAATTTCTCAACGAAAATAAAACAAACAAACGAAGGTAAAAAGTAAGATTACAAAGTGAAAACCAAACAAACCAAGTATATATATATATAGATATAGATATATTTCTAAGTGACTTAAAGAATGAGATAATAGTGAATGATAAATTTGCGCCTAGGAAATAAAAGTATGTGTATGAAGTGGGGTTGGGGTTCAATTTACTCCTACTAATAATGGAGATAATAATATGTTATCTTGTTTTCGCTTTATGTATTAAACGAGTTAATCAGTATAAGATGATCATTTAGAGTTTTTCATTTTGATCACAGAATGTAGTAAGATGAAGAAAGAAGTTGGCATGATTGGTAAATTTAATAAGGATATGAATTGTATATTAATCAAACTAGAAAGCCGATAACACATACATACAAAAACATAAACCTACGATGAAAAAGTAACACACACAAGACGTTTATAAGAATTGTTGCCATCAAAGCTTCCATATGAATTCTAAACAGTTGTTAACAGTGAAGTTAATTGATTTCCGCATTTTTACATTATATAATTGGATGTTAAGCTCAGAAAATAAAAAACATATTTGATAATTCTTTTCACAATAAGTAGTAGTACAGTAGGTGGATGGATGTATAGCCGTATTGAACGGCAATAGTAGAGGGAAAGTACAAACTAAACACATTCGAACACATGGATTTGGAGAAATAATAATAATAATAATATAGTAAGAAAATAGAAATCAATGAAATCCATATTAATTTACACACAGAAAATCATATAATATTTAATTGACTATCATTATCGTCATCAGTAGGATAAGACTGTGTTGAAGGCGGTAGAATATTTAAGGCAAGAAAAAAAGATTGAGAGAGTTATCTTTTACCCCTCATACATTTCAAATCAAAAACATATGTGATTATTTTGACGAGTTAAATGGGATGTTATTTGTCGGTGAATTGGAATGGACAATATTACTCATAGTAGTAACGGTGGTGATTGAGGTGTTACTGTTGGCAAAAATCATCGGTTTTATGGTAATCGTAGATGATTTCATACAGGTATATTGATTAGTTTTAATCGTGTTAATGAAGATTTTATTAATTCTATCTGGGACTGGAAAGTAAACAATAGAACAAATGGCTTATATATATAAACATTGAGAAAAAAAACATAAATTTGTAAATAAAATTTATTTTTCTAGTATTGACTAGCTTATTTGCCAGATACAAATTTATGTAATCGGTTTTAATTCACAGTAAATTTTTGGCACAAAAACCACTAATAATTACCTGTAACTGTTCAATTTATTTATTTAAACATATAAATATTGGTACAAGGAAGCACCAGATACATATGCGCCACACAAATTTCATTCGATTTGTGTGAGGGCTGTGATACTGCCCAGATTGAAGCAGGTGGTTTTCTTAGAGGTCTACACGCGGAGCCTTTGGCCTAAAGATCTGATCCGTAAGGCAGTGGAGCATCGTAAAGAGATGCAGTCCCATGGTAGCCGATGACCAACGATTGATTCATACGCTATTTCTTCCCTCAATATACTGGAGCCCATGTGCACCATTGGTTTGGAATCAAGGTTTTCCAACTCCCCTAGGTGAGCTTTCCGTGTCCACCAACCCAGTTAAAGCGCCGGACATTTGCTTATGTGTTCTCAAAGGCTTTTGTCATTGGAGCATCCTAAGGCATATCGCCATTGCTAATATTAATGAGTTTGACTGTCGTGTAAGCGGAATGGGTCAACTGTGGTCTGTTCATGCTGTGCATATTTGATTTACGCGATCACTTATCGGAATATTTATACACGGGATGTAAATGTGTATATGAATGGTGCGAATGGTCCACCAGGGTGTTTGGTACCTGAGTGGTTGCGCCACAGGATTGGGCTGAGCTGTTCGGATTGTAGCGTTGAAGCCTTTATAGTAAGTAGGACTTCCCTAGCAGAGGCTATATACGCGTGGCCATGTGAGAGCATTTCGAGAGAGAGTGGACTCTCCCCACTCTCGGCCGTACCAGGGCAGTTGGGGGGCACTGTCCAAACAGTAGAGTAAGTGAACCAAAGTTTGAAGTTTTAGAGTTAATAGGTTAAAATTTAAATGACTTCAACATTAAGTCACCACTTAACATGACAATAGTGAAATTTAAAGTTAATTTTCATCATTAACTGAAGGAATCAATGAAAATCAGGAAAAGTGGAATAGATGCTGATTGTTAAATTTAAGCTTCATAATTGGGCAAAAGTCTGGATCAAATTATGTGTTCGTTTATACCACACTAATACAGTGAAATGAAATTCCCAAGGAGAAAAATAATGTATGGTAATGAAAATAAATGCAAATGGTCGCAGAATCTAAACAAATAGACGCACTCAACTTACTGACTATTAAATGTGATTTGTTTTCCTTTTATTGATTTTCAGTTCGGACTTACTAAGAGTGACTGCTTGTAATTGTATGCAATCAAGTATTGTCTAGTGTTATTCTAGTTCTCTATTTTTAGTTTTGAATAGTATATCTGATCTAACGTGATCTAGTCTCTGTATTGTCTACCATCTGAGTATCCAATCATTCTTTTGCCTATTGACTAGTTGTTAATCACTGCAAATTGTAACAATTCAATCTTTCTAAGTATAACAACTTTGGCTAATAAATATTTTAGCCAGATATTAAATTAATTGTAACTAACTTTTCATGTTACAACATACATTTACTCACCTTAGCATGTTTAACTTCTAATTCGGCGAGATCAACTAAATTTTTATGGAAATATTTAATTCGACGAACTTTGAAATCTTCTAATTCTGTAAAGAAAATAAGTAAATAAAATAATACAAATAGGATTATAGAAGAAATAGAGCATTTTAAAACTAAAACGAACACGGAAGCTATTTTCGAAATATGAATGAAACAGTATAGTCTAGGAATAAACTAAGAAAACAATCATGACTAATTTTCACCCAGTTCATAGCCAATCAAAAAATACCCTTTATAAATGAATAGTTTTTAGAAAATAAAACACTAATAATACAAAGTGTAGACAAAATTTTACGTATGTAATGAATCTTTTAAAGTCTTCTACAGGTTACTCTGACTGTAAACTGAAAAAATAACAAAACATAAACATGTCCTTGTAGATATAGATTATCCTTATCAGGACCCAAAAAGGCTTTTCCGAGTTCGCACATAGTTCTTGGTTAGAATTAGGCATTCGTGGTAGGGAATGAAGGATTAGGTGTCGGAGTTGTCATCACAGAATACAAAAATGCCCAGGGGAGTTAAGTGATTAATTCATTCACAAAATTTTCAATTTCGGGTTGTGGAGATTATTGAACTTCAATGAAATCGTGAACCGATCAATGTTGGATCACCAATTAAAACCTGGAAAAACTGTACGAGCATTTCGTCCTAATATGGGACTCCTACACAGTGTGCATCTATGATCTAGCACGCGGGATTCGATGGTGGTCTAACATTTATCGGCTCATGATGTCAATGCATTACATTAAATGTAGTTCCTCAAGGTTACGATTCGTTCCAGTATTAAGCGTCTACGGTTAGGAGTTGAGGATAATGTCGATTTACCTGTTATAAATAAACTACAGAGGACAGAATCTAGCATTCGATACTTTTAACACTCTATGGTTATAAAAAATAATTCTTCACTATCGTTTTAAACGTTTCGAAAAGTATTGAAAGATATTTTTACTGCTCGTCATAGGTAGTATATAAATTATGCACAAGAACCTATAAATCGCGTACTTGATCCTGATTCAATGGTATCCATACAATGATTTTATCAGAATTTGATGCATACACTTCAAATTATCACATTAATAAGACAGACCAAAACGAAACCAGATGAGATTGATATCGTAAAACAAACTACTCGTAAAGCAACTCAGGTAGTAATCATCTAATTAAGACATGATACTAGGAATGTGGGCCCCAGCATCCTGAGGGAACAAATGGTGTATGAATCAATTGTTGATCACCGGCTACCATGGGACTGAATCTTCTCGCGATGCTTCACTGCCTTGTAGGTCAAACTTTCAGGTCAAAGGCTCGGGGTGTGGCCCTCTAAGAAAACCCCCTGCTTCAGATTGAGCACTTGGGTGGTATCACAGCCCTCACACAAATCAAATGAGATTTGTGTGGCGCATATATATCTGGTGCCCCTTTGTATTAATATTTATGTGTTTAAATAAATAAATAAATAAATAAACACACACATAATGATATTTATAATTCACATAATACATACCAAGTTTAGCTGATTCTGAAATAGACTTGAAACGTTCATTAGCTGCAGTTTGTGCATCTTCCGCTGTTTGAACATCTTTCATACGTGCACGGGCTTTATCGAGATTACGATTAGCAGTTTCATAATCTGCTAATGCACGACATCGACGATAGAGTAGGTCACGTGCGGCTCCAGTATCAATGGCATAGTAACGAAATGTATCAGATAATTTTAAATCTTCATCCGAACTCAAACGAACTAGAATTTTCTAGTAAACATAAATAAGAGTTTTTTGTTAGAAAGTTACATTAAATCTGAGGTTCGAGTCCTGTTCAATCTGTTTCGTTTTGAAAAACCGGGTATTTTTATGAGAGTGTGGCTCACAAACTGGTAAATGAGTTTATTGATTAATCAATTAATCATTTATTACAAAAAACTACTTGGAACTGATTCACAATATATTAAAAATATGCTTATAAAATAGTTTTATCGATGCAGTAATTCATAGACAAACAAAGGTCATTTAACCCAAAATAAGTTTAAAGGAAACCGATACTCATTAGCCGTTAGGTAACAATTGACGCGAGCCTGTACAGTTTATGGCAATGATCGAAAGTTATTGATATATTTCGCAATCCGTTTACTAATCTAAGTGATTCATTAATAGTGAGGCATTTTGTTTTCTAATATATTGGATGTAACTGATGATCAATCTAGTGTTTTACGCTAATTGGGATTTTTAAACAAGCTGTATCTACAATCGCCGAGAGGATTTGAAACTGTATCAATCATTAAGTGTTGCAGTCAGATGATATCATTACACTGCAATCTTCACTGGCGGCCTGTTTGAATATCTGGCCTGATTGTGCACCCCTATCTAGATATATCAACAAGTTATGCTTTTTGTTTTTTTTAATACATTATGTCTGTTAATAACATAAACTATTCAGGCATGTTTATAAAACGTTTACGACTTTTCACTGTACAACTAACAAAAACGACAGCGACATCGTGGTTGACTATATGCATCGAAAAGGATGAACATTATTCAGAAGTCGATCCCCTAACTGCTAACATCAAACTAACGATAACTCGCTATTTATCGCCCGGATCGACTACGCGTGCTAAACACTTTTAATAAATGTGAGTGAGAATTTATGATTAATGTAATTAGTTCTGAGCTACACTGATATTACACAGTTGCCTAAACCGAAGTAGACACAACGGAGTTCAAACATGCAACTTAATGGCTGAAGATTAAAAGTCTTAACCATGGAGTCACCTACTAGGCTATCGTTCACATAATATTACCGCTCACAAGCATCATTTGCATTTATGAGGTTAACTTGTTCATCAGTGTGGAAACTGTTATGATTAATTGCTCAAAACTATTTCTCTTCTATATCATCAATCATGACAATACCATACATTTCGGGATGTAATAACATGCGACTCAAGTAATAGAAAATAACCAATTAAATATGATTAGTGTTAACTCAGTTGATCAATTTAATTCAAAAAATACTGAACAGTTGAAATGGATACCAATTTAGCTAAACACAAAATTTTTAGTTCACTGCGTTTTATTGATTGCTCTTATTATTATTATTTTCATTGAAATATGGTTGTTGATTAGGCCGTCAGATTTTGAGTGACCGCGTTCATGTGATTTAGTCAATCCCATTTTGTGATAGTTTCTCATGATAAAGATAAAAAGTGACTAGAATTCGCTGATATTATATTGCATTAATCTAGCTACATTTCTAAGTGTACAGATTTAACAGACCATTCAACTGTCAAGTATTTTTTTTAAATTTTGCCTAATGACTGACCGTTAAACATTACAATATTTAAAACTTAACTCACAAAAACAATACACTCTAAGAAGAAATTAACAAAATACTTTACGAAGATCCTCATTGAATCATTTTAGTAAACAATAACTTGACTTATTTTAACATGGAGATACAAGGCTGGTACATAGGTTTTAATTGGAGAGTCATATATTCTTGTGTGGTCAAAAAAACTTATTTTGCTTGACTAGTAAAACGATTCATGAAATCTGTAGATACTATCATTTTTTCTCATTTGATAGATAGTGAATACTAGTTCAGAATAGAAGAGCTTCTTCCAGTTTTATATCTAGTCCTCAGTAATTTACCATAAATCATCAATAATCGACATTGTTTTCAACAAAACACAATTCATACAACAGTCCTTATGAACAACTGGAAGGTAAAGTCATTTGAAATTGAAAGAGAAAACTAGTGACAAGGACCTAGTACTTTGCTTCTTTTCTTAGAGAAAAATATAACGGTACAGATTCTAGTTCTGGTACTTGGTTAGGATCCGTATGATTATCGTAACCGTAAATGAAACAGAGTTTTCTGTAGACTAACTTTCCAACCACTCACCATCTTACACACTAAAATATTACATACCAAAAATAAAGAATCAACTCACTCGAAAGCTTTCAAAGAAGTTGGATAACAGAGTTGTCAAACTGTTGAAAAGAAACAATTCAAACACAATTATGAGTAACGAATAAAATTTATACTAGAACTGCAACAGGAAAACTCTGAATTATCTTGAAGTATAAAAATTGTTTACACATTTCAACTCAGAAGCTAAGTGGATAATGCGATGGAGTTCGAAGCGAACGGTACTGGTTTCAAGTCCTGCAGAGAACATCAATTCTGGGATGCAGGTACACCAGGCTGACGGGTCCCAAATAAAATGAGACGCGAGTCTTAGTTTCCACTGCTAGCCACTATCCATCTCTGCTTATCAATTATTAATAGTTCTTTTTTCTTGGGATTATTCCATTGTTGATACTTTTGTAATGAATTTTAATCTATTTTATTTGACGTATATGTATCCTGTGAGGATTGCTTCGATATAACCATGTCAGGACTTTTTTATGGGATAAATTAAATGTGGCCACCAGTGAAATCTAGGAGGCGTCTTTCATCCTATTTAGGATAAATTTATTACAATATTTATTAATGGTTATCAGAGCTAAGCTTATCACCCAATCCAACGACGTTACGAAGCTACAGTTACAAACAGTTCACATAATCTATGTTATAAGTTTACTTACAAGTATTCTAAAGTACTTATTATTAATCGAAGTAAGACATTACATGAATATACATCAGTCTGAGTTGCCACAACTTCCAACAATACAGTAAAAGGAAATTAACAGAATGAGGAGTGTAGAATGACAAATTACAATTGATTGGATTGAAAAGCTACACACGATGAGTATAAGTCAAGAGAAATAAGTAAAGTGGAAGAATTAAAATCTTATGAGGAAAATATATTGAAGATTTAAATGGAGATGTACGGTGGATATAGCTGTAGAATACGCAGATCTATTTTAAGAGCTATGTTACAATTACAGAAAATATAAATGCGTGAATATAAATACCCAGTATGGCCTAGCTGAACACTGAGTTTACTAAGTGATTTTAGGCTCATTTATCATTCAGTCTGGCTGAAGAGTTGTAAAAAAGACGGGAGACCGATAGGCAAGTATATTTTCCTAACCTTTGAGATATGTTTATATGATTGATTAGGTGCTTATTTCACAAACCTAGACTACTATGATAGTTGAAAAACATTATGGCCTTGTTTCTATTAAATGGAATTTAGAAAATATTAATAAGCTAAAAGACAAATACACTATCTAGTTAAAGTTCCACTGTAGCCTAGATTTAACAATTGTAGTGACCGATGGAGTTCAACTAGATTAGGTGTGAAACAGTTATTCAGAGCAGACAGTGAATGATAGCTGTAAAATATCGTGAATTGATTAGAATTAGACATGTAAACCATTTGGTACCAGCTCAACAGTCTGGAGGTTGGGCGTCCGTACGTGAGATACAAAGTCGTCAGTTCGATTCCTTGTGACGAGGTTGTGGATGGGCACTGCCGAGGAGTCTCATATCAATACGAGACAGTTGCCCAGTGCTTCCAAGTTTTTAACGGTTGTTAAGATTATATTGTAAATAATTGATACTTTCCTTCCTTGTATTTCTTTGAAATGGGTATATATTTAGTGCAGTCGTTTCAGTTAAAGGTCATACAAAACAAAAGTCGGTACCACGGAGATGTGGAGAGGGAGAGAGAGAAATAGAGAGACGGAGAAAAGTAATCACAAATGAATATAATCTATTTCACTATAAAACAAAGCAATCTAAATCTTTTTTTAAAAAAAATAACAACCTAACTAACTCAGTTTCAGAAGTGATATTGCATTCTTTTGGAATTAGATTAGATAGAGCCAATTCAATTTGTAATAAAGTATTTGCATTAGTTTTACGACATTTCGATGCTAAATCCGCTGCTACCGTTGCATCTTTTATAGCTGAATGATAAACAGCTAAGGTACATTTCTCTTCACAAAAGAAAGTATCATTATCGCGTTGATTATTTAACCACAAAGTTTCATCAGCTGATTTTGAGACAGATTTTAAAAAATCAACAGCCTAAAATGGTCAAATACGGAAACAAAATGATTTATTTAATTAAAATGAATTTTGTATTTGTAATATCTTGATAAAATTTATACAGGAAACAAAAAAAAAGTGGATGGGGCAGATACGCAACCAACAGTAATAAGAGAATAATAATAATAATAATAATAATAATAATAATAATTGTTGAGAATTAGTCGACGTATTAAAAAGATAGAATACAACTGGATTTTGACAACCAATAATCTTCAAGGTAATCTGAGCTCACCGGAAGGAGGTATAAGGTTTTAGTACTCTATCTGAAATAACATTACATTGCGGGTTCGTAGTATTGTGGAATCTCAAATATTCGATAGATAACTTCATTTGTGTTTTGTCGGTAATCTAATTTTATGGTTAAATCATTTATGCAATGAAACCGATTAATTGTTTGATATGGTATCTCTTGTAGTTCACTTTGAATTTAAACAGATTACAGAGTTATTACATATTGCCCCCGAATGCCCTGGTACGTCTTCCATTGACCTGCTGAATTTTTTGTTGATACAAATATGATATATCTGCTTCTCTGTGTATGTGTTTGTGTGGGAATATCGTGCCACCTATAACCAATTTGTTGAATAAACATAGATTTTCAAATCTCTCCCCATTTCATTTCTTTCTCATAGTCCATGTCGTCAAATTATATCTTCATATCCTGTGCTGTCCACTTCGACTTTAGCGTTTAGATCTCCCATCAGGATGGTGAGGTCCTTTCTTGGGCACTTAGCTATGATTGGTTACAACCTCCAGTAAAACTGATCTTTATCGTCGTCATTGCTATCATTTGTGGGTGCATAACATTGATTGTGATCCCCTCCTTCCTTGTTTTGAACGATGCTTTGATGATCCTAGATCCGTGAGATTCCCATTCTACAAGTGTATTTCGTCCCTCTCTGGACAGTGTTAGAGCAACTCCCTGAGTGTGTGGAGCATTTTTCCCTCGTGACCAGAGTACAGTAGCATCTCTCCCGTATCTAGCCTTTGCTGTCCAGCTTGTGTCCAATGGATTTCGCTGATTACAAGTACTGCCAATTTGTATCTCCTTATTTCCATTGCTATTTGACTGGTCTTCCCGGTCTCCCACATTGTCCGGACGTTCCATATACCTATGAAAATTGTTGCTCTGGTTGTTAGAAAGGGCATCCACTTCGTAACTTTCGAAGGATCTCGGCTTTCATCATGAGGTGTCATAATTCTTCCTTCAACTCCCAGGGTAGATTTTAAATGATTTGAATTATTTTTTCTCGTTAGCGTTTTTTTAGTGACTTAGTTTTCTACGGGATGGGGTCGCTAACCCCATGTCCAACCCTCCTCCTTTACCTGGGCTTGGGACTGGCAGTAACTCTAGAAGAGCTACAGGCGGAGTTGATGACACGGTAAAATTCTGATAGGTGGCTATTCCTGTTTGAAGTACATGCTAATGATGTCGCTTTGAAGGACAACGAAAACTTCACAACTAAACCACCCGGACTCAGAAACCTCACAATACCTCCAACATTAACTATTCTTAAATAACAAATGTATCTTAAATTCATAGTTATATGTATAATGTTGCTGAGAAACGTTGTAAAAACAGAAAATACCTTTTCTTTTCTTGTCTTATTTCGTACGTTTAATTCTTCTTCGAATTCCAGAAATACACGAAAACCATGATCATGCTTAAATGTTGGATGTGATGCTAGTCGTTGTAAAAACACTTCATGCATTGCAACTGTTTTCTTAAAAGTAGCTAAGTATTCACTGAAAATAAATAAGTAAACAAAAGAATATGTAAATCTATGGGATATTTTTACCTAAAATTAAATTAATTATGAACTGACGATCAAAACAATAACAGTAAATAAATTAGATTTTCTGACGTTTCGTGACTCAGTGTAAGCCACTTCTTCAGAAAATGAATAACTGAACTAAAATTAATCCAAGTTTAAATAGTACAACAGAACAATAAGAATATTAAGTGATCAATCAAAAAACAGGTTTGAATAAATCAATGTCATGCCATTTTGATCGAGGTGATTCATAAAAGACATGTATATAAATTCGTGTGTATGTATATGTGCACTGTTAAGGATGAAAATTGTGACCTTTATGGTGAGAAAGGATAGAGTTCAATTTGTAAGTTAATAGTGTGAGTTGTAAATATTATCAGACTATGTGGCTGGGATAGATAGTCCAAGTAGGATGTATGTTAAGGCCTTCTTTTCTATAATGGCAGTAAATGCTAATATACGCTATGTTGATATTACACTACACTGCGAAATTATGCATGGAGGACAGATGACAAACCAATTCCAAGTGACGACCGGAGTCAGACAAGGCTGCTTACTCTCACCCTTTCTCTTTTTTCCGGTGGTTGATTGGATTACGAAGACCTTCGCATCTGAGGAGAAGCACAGAATAAAATAGACAACTTGGATGCAACCAGACGATTTAGACTCCGAAGATGACTCTTCTATCCCATACACACGAACAAATACAAGTAAAGACAGCCAGTGTAGCAGAAGCCTCTACATCAGTAGGCTTCAACATACACAAGGGATGACCAAGATCCTCGAATACAACATATAGAGCACCAGCCCACTTACACTTGATGGAGAGACTCTGGAAGAGTTAGAAACTTTCACGTACCTGGGCAGCGTCATCGATGAATAAGGAGTATCTGATGCAGGTGGAAAAGCAAGGGCCACATTCCTGCAGTTGCAGAACTTATGGGACTCAAAACAGCTGTCAACCAATTTCAAAGTGGGGATCTTCAATACAAACGTCAACATAGTTCTACTATATGGAACTGAAACTCGAAGAACTACCACTACTATCATCAAAAACGTACAAGTATTTAGAAACAATTGTCTATGCAAAATACTCAATGTCCGTCGACCGGATACCATCAGAAACAGGTTACTATGGAAGAGAGCAAACTAGATTCTAAATGAACAGAAAATTAGGAAAAGACGATGGAAGTGGATAGGACATACATTTCGGAAATCATTAAACTGGATCACTAAGCAAGCCCTAACTTGGAATCATGAAGGGAAACGGAAAAGAAGGAAACCAAGGAACACACTGCGCCAAGAATTCGAAGCAGACATGAAAAGGGTGAAAAGCAACTGGAAAGGATTGCCCAGGACAGTTCAAAGGAGAATGCTAGTGGGCGGCCTATGCTCCTCCACTAGGAGTAAACGGAGTAATTAAGTATCACTACTTCCAGTTACTGGCTTATAATGGAACACACAGCATACTACTGAAAGAGAAGTAATCATTGAACAGGTGGAGATTACATTGAATAGACCTTCGATATTAAAAGCTGTTATAACTAGCTCTGAGCAAACATATTGATATGTGGTAATAAAAGTTAAATATGTTTGGTCACTAGCGTGGACAAACAGGTACTTAGCCTACTGACTTCAATATATTATTCCCTTTTCTCTTATTTAGATTTGTACTTCGGACTCACTGAGTGTGAGTGTTTGTAACAGTGTTGAATAAAATATCATCTAGTGTGAATCTGGTTTTTTTATTTCGAGTCGGAAATTCTGGATCTGATATAACGTGGCTAGTATCATTATTGTACTAGGGAATTAATAAAGTATACCTGAGAGAAATATTATATATATGCACACATAATCGGTGAATATACAATCCGTCGATAAAAGTTAAACAATAGAAAATTTTTAGTTAATTAACATACAAAACAGAACACTTAAGCAATACAAAACAAAGTAGGCCAGCACATGGATATATACAACTATTACTATTACTTAAATTTAGCCATAACATGAAATGTTTATCATAAACACAAAACAATAACAATAATTACTATTATGAACAATGAGTTCCTGAAGTATAACGTAAAATTACTATTATTATGATAACCAATGAAAAGAAAGTACATATCTGGTTATTATCTAAATATGTAAATTAGTATATTTCTCAAGATTTAGTTTAGAGATTGTAGAATTAATAGAGAGAAATTATATCAAATCATGTTGGTATAGAACAAGAAGAAAAAACAAAACTGAATACATGAATTGTAATACATTTTGTGTCGAATTTAGAAATATCAAGGGTTCCAAATAATAAAGCCCATTAGGTATGTAGCCTATTTAATGAACACAAGAAATAGGAAAATAAAAACCTTATTTTACAAACCATAAAGCGCCAATTGTGGTTTGCTGCAATAAGGGTGTGTTAACTAGCGAGTGGGAAAAAGCGAGCCTTACGAATGTGATGTTAGCATGCACACTTCTTTAATCGATAGCTCGGTAGGAAAATGTAGCAATTGAAATCTTGATTTATTGATAGCGATTCATGTATGCCGGTTCGTCTATTAACTGATTACTTATAATGGATCGATTGCACTCAAATGCCCCGGTACGACTGAGGGCATGGAGAGTGCACTATCCCTTTCAAAATGCTATCACATGGCCACACGTATACAGCCACTGTCAAAGAAGTCTTACTCACTTCCTTCTCGTGGTGGGGATGCTCTTTACGAAAGTGAGAGGATGAAAAGCCAATGTCCGGTGCTTTAACCAGGTTGGTGGACACGGCGAGTCCACCTAGGGCAGTTGGAAAACCCTCATTCCAAACCAATGGTGCACACGGGCTCCAGAATCCTAATTTAATAAATGGAGTATGAACCGACTGTTGGTCATCAGCTACCATGGGACTGCATCTTTTAACGTTGCTCTACTGTCTTGTGGATTAGACCTCCAGGTCAAAGAGTTGGGGTTTGGCCACCTAAGAAAACCACCCTCTTCAGTTTTAGAATCCGGACAGTGATCTAGCCCTCACACAAATCGAATGGTGAAGTATCGTGCACATATATTTGGTGCCTCCTTGAATCAAAGTTTACGTGTCTAAATAAATAAATAAATAATGGACCGATTATGGAGGACATTGAAACTTTTGTAACTGCCTCACCAATTTTTATTTTATTTTTTTATTGTACAACTTTGGATGGGTGAATTATAGTATTTACGTACTCCTTGAATTGTGATCTACCGTGGGAACTATTAACTACTGTTATACTAGAATGAAACGGCCATACAATACTTCCAGGTTTTTCTTAGTGGTCCAACTTAGATCGATTCATGATTTCCATGAAATTCAACAACCTCCACAACCCCAAGTATACTTTTTTGTCTTACTTTTTCGTGCTGTACATAAATAATTTATCAAGATAAATCATAGCAGAAAATTTCGAATTCAGTACTACAGAATAGAATTTATTGCAAGTAAAAAATTTGAAATTATAGTCATTCGATTGTTGAACGACGTAAACGAGATTTTACATGGATAAATAGATCAGAGTACATGAAGTGTTTGACATAATGATTTGGCGTAAAGACATTCAGTTAAATGTTGAACATAGCAGCATATATGATTGTACTACAATAGTATTTATCACTTATTTATGAGAATTAAAAACAGTTTAGTTAGTTATTAGTTACTTGCCGTCCGAATAGCTCGATGGTAATATTTCTGACTGTGAGGCTGGGCGAGACGGGATCATATTAGCCAGGAAGTATCAGTTTCCTCAAGATAACAGGTAAATCTTGCTCGCAGTTAGTGCCAAATAGCACAAAACGTAGGTTGAGCAGGGTACCCTGTCAACTAACTCAAACCACCATCTTACATTCCAATCATGATGCTAGCGATATTGAGTAACTTAGAGATCAGTGGTCACATTGCAACTCAATTGATTAAAATTCGGACAGTATTAGGACAGACTTAACACAAATGACATCGGTCATTAATCAGTTGTAAACTGCAACTCCTATCTTTTATTTCATAAAAGAAAAATAGTACAGATATTAATGATACCCTTCTTACGCTTCTAATTCAGCTTTCATTTTTCGCAGATCCTCTACGGGTAGATTGCCTTCATTTTCACCTAGTCGTTGTAGTTTAGCACGAGATGCATCGAAATCTGGTTTTGGCGGGACCGGTGGAACCTTATGTTGAAAACAGAAAGAGACCAAAAGCAAAAATTACTGTTCATCTAATAATAAATCATTATTATTAACTACTCACCAATCAGAGTAAAGATTTATATACCGAAATTCGGGTCACACTCCAAGTGCCAGTGGGGAATAGCGATACTACCCGGTTGACCAAATCAAAGTAGTTGGGGATGGAGGCGGAGTTCAAACCTGGAAATTTTCAACGTTTTAATCATTGAGCCACAAGCTCCGCTAACAAATTAGGTCAGTGAGCTGATATAAGGATAAAGTATTAGTTTGCAGGATACACACATATATAATATTATTTTACACTAAAACGCGACTGAAAAATATTTTTTTAGAAGCACTACCAGATATATGTAATATGCCATACAAGAACTATACCCGTTAGTCAAGTTTTAATTCCACTGACGTATATATATATATATATATATATATATATATGACCCACAAAGCCCGTATCCTAAAGTCGCTTATGTTTGTTTTTCCGTCTCATACTTTGTATGCATGCTTATGGTAATTTACTAGAAAGAAAATCTATGCTGTTGATCAGTTATGTTGTTGTTTAATATCAGTTCATTTCAAAGACGGGTCGATAATTCGGTCTTGTGAGAAGATAATACTAGTCGACTATATATCATGATTGTTTATTACTATCTATCGATCAACAAACTCTATAGATCACTTTAAAAATCAAAACATATTCATAAAAACAAGCCTTGAACTGTCTCGTATAACGAAATATCACGATATCATGGTAAGTTTTGCGAGACACAATCAAATAAAGTTCAGATCAGAAACCAGTGGAGACAGTATTGCAGATCTCTTGTTTTGTCAATGCTTGAGCACTGCTTTAGAAACCAAAGCTACGAATATTGTTTTGAATATTACCGTTACGACGTTCACTAGCCTGCAATTTCTTAATTGATAGCCCGGAAAACAAACGCATCAAACAAACTCCTGATTTCTTGTTCTCGAGCAGAAGTATGTTGGTCCGTTTATTATTTATTTATTTATTCAAAAACATAAATATTGGTACAAGGAAGCACCAGATAAATATGCGCCGCACAAATCTCATTTCATTTGTGTCAGGGCTGTGATACTGCACGGGTGCCCAGACTGAAGCAGGTGGTTTCCTTAGGGGCCCACACCCGGAGCCTTTGATCTAAACATCTGATCCATAAGGCAGTGGAGCATCGTGAGGAGATGCAGTCCCATGGTAGCCGGTGACCGACGATTGGTCCATACGCCATTTGTTCCCTCAGGGTACTGGAGCCCATGTGCACCATTGGTTTGGAATCAGGGTTTTCCAACTCCCCTAGGTGGACCCTCCATGTCCACCAACCCGGTTAAAGCGCCGGACATTCGCTTTTCGTCCTCTCAATTCAGTAAGCAACACCCCCGCCACGAAAAGGCAATGAGTAGGACTTCCCTGGTAGAGGCTATATATTTGCGTGGCCATATGATTGCATTTCGAGAGGGAGAGCGGACTCTCCCCACTCTCAGCCGTACCAGGGCATTTGGAGGCTTCCAGTGTTGGTCCATTTATTGAATAATTACTTCACCTGACCAATGCAACACCCAGCCTAGCACTAGCAACGCTGAGAACTGATGAGATAATCGTGACTTTAACCGGTCCACCGATATACAAACCTTTTTGTGTCCTCTAATATTGAGTCCGATAATAAAATACAGAAATAAAGTCTCTAATGTTCTATTTACAGGCATTCAACATATTTATGTATTTCAAACACTCGCTAATACATGTACAAGAATTGTCAGACGACTCACTCTTTACATACAATCATGCCATGAGTGATAGAACAATAATTAAGGGACAATAAGTTAATACGACTAAAAAAAATTTATAATAAGGGGTTTATACAAAAATAATGGCCCCTTTATTTAATAATTATATGATAAAATATCGACAGAAATAATCTGTAAGACAATCCTAACAGTACCAATATTTTCAATATTTGCCTCTTCATAGCAGTATCTGGAATAACTGCAATTTTATATTAAATCATTGCCATTTGTTGTATGCCTCTTGGTTTTATTATTATCATACAATTTTGTACAATTCATTCTTGCTGTTGCCCATGGCGTATCAGTTTCAAATATAAAACCAAATAAATAATAGTAATCCGGGATATTTAGGAGAAATAAAATTAAATCTATTTATTTCGATTATACGACAGAAATTTCCAATACCCACTCATAAAAACACAGTTCTCTAAGAAGTTTAATTCATAACTAAAAACAGATTAGCACAGACAGGAAGTAATGACAAAGGTTTAAACGCTTGAGCATAGTTTCTCTTTAAAAGTCACTTCAGTTTACAGTAAGGAATTACATAATATTTAGACGACATCATTGTGAGGTGAAACATGCCAATTTTATTCGGTGAATCTGCTAAAATAATATTCAGAGGGTTGATATAAAAAAAGATATATATTATCATAAAACCAAACAAGAAATAAACTCCGCCTGTAGCTCTTCTAGGCTTACTACCAGCACCAAGCCCGCGTAAAGGAGGAGGGTTGGGCATGAGGTCAGCAACCCCATCCCGTGAAACAACCTTGCTACAGAAAACGCTAACCAGAATAAATAATGAGGATAGCAGTTGGTTGGTAATCACTGAGTGTTTCATTGACAACTTTCCTAAAATAATAGCAACACTAAACACTAACATATATTAACAATAATGGAAATTCTGCATGAAACCCTTCATTAAAAGGGTCTGGAAATCGGTTGCTTCCAATATGTTTATTTAAAATATATGCTCCTATGGAGATATATATAACAAAGATAACATAATCTGTCTGATAACAGCCATAAACCAGATGATCTGGGTAATTTAAGAATTGTTAGATAGGTTCTAATGCAAAAACTATAAGTTTGGGAATTTAAAATGCACTATTAACATAGATAACGAAGGTAGCTTAGATTAAAGTATAGCTACTAAGCTAATTGGCTGATGAGAAAGTCGATATGAGAGTCCTTTAGGTACCTACTAGATCGAGTGTTTATTAAGACATCCAATTAAGAGCTTATTTTTGCTTTGGCATCGAACTATGATTCACAATCACATGTAATATTAACTAATTTCCACAGGTATTTATGTCGATAACGCAGTTTATAGTACAAACTTTAAATACTCGTCAATCATTTCTATGCACTGCTGATTTCATCGAAGTGGGAGAATTCCCACATATTATTGCTAATAATATTCTAACTAGAAAGTGAAGATATGCAAAAAGAGGTCAAATTAATGTAGCTATTACTTATTACGTGATGCTGTTACATATTGATTGCTTCTATCCACTTTTCCAATCAATATCAGAATCTGAGAGTAATGTTCACTGAAATGCTGGGATATCAAAATTTACACGTACCTAAGAGACAGAAGTCTGATTTGCGACGTGGTAAACAGAGAAACCCACACAATATATTATCATTACTTACGCTAAATTTAATGTACAATATCAATGAAACAAAGATCAGTAATATATTAAAGATCTTAAAAGTATCACAACTTTAATCTTTTAAAATCAAATAAATCAAATGGCAGTATCGTAAGTGGTTCAGAGTAGAAAGTGTTGCTCTTTTTCGTGGTAGTACAGTTGGACTTATACGTTTTAAATCAAATCATCAGCTCCAGTACTACTTGAACATTATAATTGACCACAAAAAATAAACCCGTGTATATTGCTACCATTCGCTTAGAAATAATTCAAAACAACAATCAAATTCACTATTCCAAGCAATAACTACTTCGAAATATATATTTGAAAAATCCTAATGAGAAAAACCGGGTTAATGCGAAAATTAACTTACAATTAGACCTGCATATGCATCATTTTCAACTAAACGATCATGAAGCCAGACGAATTCTTCGTGCATTCGTTGTACATCACATTCATTTTGTTTAAAATCAGGCAATGTAGTCTAGAATTTAAAAACGAAGTAGAAAAGAAACCAGTAAGAATGTTAGTCGACTAAGTAAAAGTCTTTCAATACTTTTCTTCCCATTCTTAAAAGTTTAAACTTGAATGAAACCTTGATATGATTATAAAAACATTAGTGGCCATTTCGGGGTACTATTCGCTAGTTCGATTATACATGAGCTTATAGACAGATTAGTTATAACGTCCGACGTCCAAATAGCACGTCCCAATTTCGAAAACAGCCCGACCTCCTACACTTTGAGCAACCGGTTAGTACTGTGGTGTGGGTTGCTTACATCCACATAGGTAGTATACGATGATGGTCAGGCAGAGAATGTATTTCACTGGAAGATCGATAAGGAAAGAACGGAAACGAAACGCAATCAGTATGAAAATACATGAACAATAATAATCGGAGACGATGGACTGATATTTGCAGAAGGAACGGTCAAGATCGAGACAATTGATTGATAGTTTGCAAATTAACTGTTTACTGTAAAGCTGTCAGATTTTAGTGAGATAGTCTGTAATTTTTGTGTCAAATACATTCGATTGTCCCCACTTGTGTTCTCGTTCACTATATTACTACTAGCCTCCATATTTGGAGCGATTCATAAATAAGTACCTGGTGAATAAATCATCACCAACAATATTAACAGTAAAAAGAACGTTGTCCAATGAGACCTAGTTACAGTTAACACTGTGGATACAAAATGATTCCATTTACATTAAAAATAAACATGTCAATGTAGTGTAGAATGAGTAGGAAACGACAAGATCTTAGTTATGTAAACTGTATTATGAAATGGGATAAGATATACTGCTACAAATAAATTCATGAAAATCCTGACAGTACAACTGATATATATTCAATAAGGGAGTGCATTATTGTAAAAAAAAAATATAACCACCTTTGTATGAATTTTGAATAGGACACGATCTTTATCACTCATCGCTCCAGAAATTTCAACGGCTAATGACTCGGAACTAGGATCGGCCACATCTGACCATCCTCGCACTTGGGAAGGGAACTGTGGAAATGATGAACCACCACCGATAGAGACAGTATCATGATAAATGCTAGTTGAATGCTCACCAATATGTTCCTGAAAGTCCGGGAAATTATATTTGTGAGTAATAAAGTACTTTGGGAGGATGATTTATGGAATTAAATAGCTCAATAATTGCAGTTAATAAATAGGCAAATGGGCAATTAGGGCAACAAGGGGGAAGAAGCAACACAAGATCTAATGTAAACATGTACCGACCGAAGTTCCAACGCTCCACACTATTACAGTGAAGAGAAATTAGCACAGAAGCAAAATATCTATTTTGCTCTACCAGGCTGCTTTAAATGCGCCGTTCAAGCTGACTTATTCCTGATGATTGATACAACGTATAAACTGAAATGATTAACGACTAGTGCCAAAAAATGATCGAAGTGCTAAGCCGAACATCACCCCATATCTGTTGTTTAAGCAACTTGGTAGTATCAACAACCTCAAATTATAGCTTAAACTACATTACAAGAGCCTTTACATGCCTACGTTTTGTTTTATCTTTACACAGATTTGGTTTATTACTAATGTCAGTTATTCAGCTACAACGTAGGACCAGGCACACATATGCATCGTTCCAAGTTGTCGTACCTCGTTAGCACAACAAGATCACAACCGGATTCATAGAAGTAGTTAATTTAGTGGTGGTAAAGAAAAGAGAAAGGTTTTATATGAGGATATAGTATAGGAAGGATGAAAGTTATGAAGCAATTTTAATCTCAATGTTTGAGGGAAGATAAAGAGTGTATACACCCACACCGTTGTGATCGATTCTGAGCCATGTCACACAGAGTCTCCAACCATTGGTTACGATAGTCACGTGGACCCCAACCAAGTAGTCTACATCTGCCAACTAATTAATAGTGTCGATGTTAGCTTTTTCTGGACCCTAACATTTCAACTTTTTGCTTGAGGTTGAATTCAGATGAGACTGTACGATCTACTTTAACCGATACTTGGATCGTGAGAAACTAAGTCGGTAATGATCACAAGTGATTTCCTTACAAACTAATAATCAAGACTTGATAGAGACGTTTGTCTGAATTCCTTCGTAGGATCTGGAGTATAATTTTAGTCGCAAGTCTGAGTTGGGTATTACTTGTAGCAACAAAGCCCAGTTACAATAAGCAAAAGTGCTTTTACATAACGTTCTGTTTATCCTTAACACTATTAATTTCCGATTAATTTTCGACATCATCATTACCTACTGGTCACGTGGAACTAACGGTAGGAAAAAAACTAAACCGAACAGCAGAAAATGTCAAGAAAACCCACTTCAACCATACACAATAAAAACCCCGCCAACAGGCGAACATTTAAGTTAGGATTTCATATGTACATAAGTGCTTCTGGATCATAATTATGACCTTTAAAGCCCTAAAATAGCGGTGATAAATATTACTGGATCAGCTGTAGCTGCCCTGTGGTAGTATGATTATCCAGTTTATGTTACAGAAATATATTATAGGAACAAGCTTGAGATTAATACATCACGTAATACACAAAAGCTATAGTACTTATTGATACCATTTACAAATATATTGGCTTAGAAGGAAGTAATACATATTATTTACAACTATACACAATCGTAGGAATAATAAAGTTTCGGGATGGTTTTAGCGATAAATGAGGACGAATAGAAATGGGAATCGAACAGAATCGAAAATCAAATGAAAAGATGTCAAATATGAGAAAATATACTTTAAAATGAACGAAACACATGAGACTATAAAAAACCCAAAGTAGCTAACTTATACGGGAGGCCTGCCATCGCGGAAAACAGTGTAGGGATGCCAACGAACTTTTGGATCTTATTGTTTACTAACTGAATTATGATCCTACACAACATAGAAAGACAACATAGAACTCAATCTTATTTCGAGGAAATCCCCAATATTTTGGGGAAATTATGTGGTTTCTATACCATTTCCCCAAACTTTTCTATAGCAGCTTTTCCAAAAATTTGGGAGGTTAGGAACGTAAATCAAATGAACATGCCCCTTGCGCTAATTTGACGATAAATTGATATAATCAATAAAAATGCTTCGGTCAAAGAAAACTTTGTGGTACAAAATTCTGAATCTGTGAAACAGAATAAGGGGATATTGTGGACATATGGAGTATTTCAGTACAGAAACCGACCATCGTAACGCAAAATTCAAAAGTAGATATATAAATATACATATATCCAATATCAAATGGTTCAAATGGTTGAGGACGGAATAGAAGAAGCTTTTGCTTAACGGGCTTCCGTGTCTAGTAGCAGTGAATCAACAATACCTCCAGGCAAAAACCTAGGTATATGAACGATAATAGAGGAAAAAAATTATCGCAAGGTATTTAAAAAGGACAGTGGTATTTTTCCTCGTTGACTAAATTCTATTGTTTTGATCGTTATTAACGTATCAAGACTACTGTTTTATACTTTGATTGAATTTCTTTCAGTTAAAGTATTCGACTAGAGTATCATTTTTGGTATCCTAAATAGTTTTATCGTCGGTACTCCAGAGTACCTTGTTTTTTATTGTATCTGTTAGTACTTTGGTCCTAACTATTTTATAGTTTTTTCTACTTTTAATCAAAACTCACTTCCTCATCCTAAAATGACTGGAAGATGCAACAAAAGCATTTGCCACCGCCCAGAATGTCGATATCCCGTTGACAGCGGCATGCAGTGCGATGAGTGCAAAGGTTGGTACCAAGAAGTTTGCACGAATCTAACGCCTGCAGCTTTTAAGCGGTCAATAAAATGGATACATATGGCTATGTCAACAGTGCTGTTTGGATGCAATTAGCCTGTTAACCGAGGCCATCTCAATTGTAAATGCCGCGAAGAAGTGTCTCGGCAAGCGCGGTCGGGACACATCGGTCAGAACTCAATCTGTCTACACGCAGATTGACATAAGGCAGGCCCAAGTGAGCACAAAAAATGCTGACCCACACTGTCCAAAGGAGGAAGGACATCCTCCAAAGAAGTCTGTCACAACCAGAAACTCGAGAAAAAAGTCTCTTCTGTCCCCCGTATCAAAAATGGTACCCAGAAGGGAACTTCCAGAACCCAAAATCGCAAGGATCGATCGGTTTCCAGCGCGAAAGATGACCAAACCTCCAAAGTAGTATTGAACCTTCCGGAATCCCTGACGCGACTGTGGTTACTACTCCAAAGAACGTTGGAGATTGGGTACTGGTCGTAAGGAAAAAAACGGCAAAATGACGTAAAAGGGAATCCTACCCCCACCAAAAGGATCGAAAAGTCGAGATCTGATCACAGCGACAGATCAGTCATTTTCTGTAGAGTCAAAGAGAGTGACAGCTCAGAACGTAAAGCTCATTTTGAGCATGACATTGTGTTGATAAAACAACTACTCAACCAAGTTATGCCCCAAAACATCTCCGAAGTCACCTTGCTAAAGGTGTATAGACTAGGAAATCAGTCTACACTGCTCAAAGTCGTTTTCAAATCTCCAAACGAACGCGACTTATTTTTAGAAAATGGACACAAATTAAAGGGTTCAGGAGTTTTTCTCCGTAAGGACTTACCGTTGGCGGACAGTGTAAAAGACGGGAGGCCGAAAAAGAACCACAGCTCAGATTAGACGCTGGTGAAAAAGACCTGAAAATTTACAATTTTCAGGTTGTGAGGCTTCGACAGAGGATGATGCCGAAGCCGCTCTGGGTGAAGCACGAGGCCACCTAAATAGGCTTCGGATCTGTTATACCAATGCCCGTGGCTTACTCAATAAGCTACCATAACTAGGTGTACAGATTGACTCAACTAAGCCAGACATAATCGCAGTCACAGAAACATGGCTGACGCCGTCTATAGATGGTAGGGAACTTGATTTCGAGGGTTTTACATTAGTAAGGGCCGATACAAAACTGATGTGTGGGCGAGAATGATAATGATTGGTTGTCTCGATGAGTCAGACATTAGAGGGGATGACAGGTGTGTCAATGGACATTGGGGTATCTTGCGCAGATAATTGTTTATATTATACTTGTACATTATTGATGAATTGAGAAATCATTATATATTCATTATTTTAATCAATAGTCATTTATTACACCTTATTTAGAGGAAATCTGTAACATTAAGACTTTGGATACATCTCATTATGGTTAAATTACAGGTCAAATAGACACTTAAAGAATTATGGATTTTCACTAATCTTTAAATGTCATTATATTTGATAAAAGAGAAATTGTCTTTAAACACAAAGTAAAGATTACAGTTTTATCAAACTGATGTGTGGGCGAGAATGACAGTGATTGATTATCTTGATGAGTCAGACATTAGAGGGGATGACAGGTGTTATGTGTTATATATATTCCCCTATCCTTATTATGTATGGACTATTCCTTGTTGATGGACACTTATTGATTGACTGTTCCTTGTGTCGGATTTCGGTGTGGAAATATATTGACGTTATAGTCAGGCTAATCTCGTGTTCTTGATCTGAGTTGTGTTGAAGTCCTGTAGAATAGACACTGGGTGGGAATCTAGTGTAGATATTCGTCTAAGATAAATTAACGTCCCACATACGTGTAAGAAGTAAAAGGATTGTTATAACAAGAACCCTTACTGTTATAACCAGCATCCTCTCCTTTACGTTTATAACAATTAGCGACGGCTTACTTACGTTATAACAAATACAAACGCGTAAAAGAGGGGGAGTAGCTCTATTCATTAGGAATGGTAATCCATTCACCATTATCGACAGTGTATCCCATGAGAGTGGGACATATGAATTAGTTAGCTGCCGCCTGAAATGTAGGGGACAAGAGTTGCTGCTTAGTTTGATCTATCGCAGTCCAAGCTGTGAGGTAAACGAGGTCCTGCTAAGCAGTCTCAACACTTTATCACAAAGTGATCGATGTATAATCCTAGGGGACTTTAATGCACCAATGGTGGACTGGGGAAATTGGCGGACTGAATCGTCAGCAAATTCCTTCGAACAGGGACTAGTTGATGCTGTAATCACATGTGCCCTAGTGCAACACGTGAAGGAAGCAACTAGGTACGACCCGGGTTCTGCATCATCCTTACTAGATCTTATTATATTGACTCATTATGAGGAAGACGTTGCAAACCTGGATTGCATGCCACCCCTAGGCAAAAGTGATCATGCAGTTTTAAGCTTTGACTTCCATATAACTGTCGATCACGTGCACGCCTCAGCTCAATCCAGACCTAACGTCTGGAAAGCAAACATACCAGACATCATAAAATTAGCATCATCAGTAGATTGGAAAATAGACCCAGAGTCATCAATCGACACGGCTTGGGACGTATTTCGGAATTTGTACTTAAAAGTTACCGCCCCCCACATCCCTTGGACTACACCTAAAGGGCCCAGAAACTCCCCACCGTGATTCAGTAGGGAGGTTCGCATACTTCTCCGTAAAAAAAGGAAAATGTGGGATAGATTTAGGTTACTGAGGACTGACGAGGCAAAATCTCAGTATCGAAAGGCTCGAAATACCTGTGCCTCGACCCTCCGTAAGGCCAGAAAGCTGTACGAAAAGAAAATCGTTAGGGAATCCATAGAATGCTCTAAACGCTTGCATTCGTATATAAACCAAAGGACAAAAAGAAGAAGAAATGTTCCTTCACTATGGGGAGACAGTACTGCCACATCACTAGTGGAGGACGACTTTGGCAAAGCTCAAGTGTTCTCTAAATACTTTAGCGATGTATACACCATAGAAACACCCTTCTCACCAGTCCATGAAAATCACCCCACACAAGCACTGGACAGCGTGACTATTAAAGAACTCGATGTCTTTGGTCTGCTAGTTAAGCTTGACATAAGTAAATCCACTGTACGCGATGAACTGCATCCTAGGTTACTAAAGGAATTAGCCAACTTTGTTGCGTGTATGTGTGTGTATGTTTTAATCTATCCGTAACCCAGGGTCGTCTACTAAAAGACTGGAAGAACGCTATAGCAAGTCCAGTCTTCAAAACAGGTACAAAACATAAGCCTGAGAATTATCGACCAATTAGCCTAACTAGTGTGGTTGTTAAAATCTTAGAAAAGATTATTCGGAAGGAACTGTTAAAGCATCTCGATGAAAACCGGATCCTCTCCGAAAAGCAGCATGGCTTTAGAACAGGTTACTCTTGTCTCACAAACTTATTAGTCGCTCGTGAAAGCTGGTGCGCTCTTAAGGACCAAAAATTACCTATAGACGTAGCTTACATCGATTTCAGCAAAGCTTTCAACAAAGTTCCGCATAACCGGCTGTTATATAAGCTAAAGAATGTCGGGATTGGAGGCAATCTATTGATGTGGATAAAAGACTTCCTAGTTGGGCGTCAACAAAGAGTAAGGGTGAACTCCAAGTTGTCTAGCTGGGAAACTGTGCTTAGTGGAGTCCCCCAGGGTACAGTTTTGGGGCCAGTGTTATTCCTACTGTACGTAAATGATCTCCCTCGTCTACTATCGTCATCGGTCTTACTCTATGCTGACGATGTCAAGATATGGAGAGCGATACAAAGCAAGGGCGATAGCTTAGAACTTCAAAATGACCTGGAGGGATTATCTGAATGGTCCCAAACCTGGCAATTGCCGATAAACACTTCCAAGTGTATTGTGATGCATGTTGGCCACCAGGGTAGAGATACATACACGATAAATAACACTGAGTTACCTATTGTCCAGGCACACAATGACTTAGGCGTCATCGTTAGTCAAGACTTAAAGACTACTGCACACTGCCGTGCAATAGCCGCCAAAGGTTTTAATACTTTATGGTCCGTACGCAGGGCTTTTAGGCATCTCGACGCTAAAACGTTTCCGACTTTGTAAACAGTGTTCGTACGCCCTAAACTTGAGTCCTGCATACAAGCAGCTAGCCCCTGCCTAAAAAAGACAGTCAACTCTTGGAAAGGGTTCAGAGAACAGCAACTAGGCTGATTCCCGGAATAGCGAAGCTCCCGTATGGTACTAGACTGACCAAGCTAAACCTATTCCCGCTGTCATATCGAAGAATCAGAGGCGACTTGATTACAGTTTTCAAATTGCTTAATCACAAATTTGCACCTGATGTGCCCTCATTTTTCTTGTCTTCCAAAACAGAAAATAATAATAATAATATATTTCTGCGATAGCAGGTACACGCCATTTTTACAGGCATGATCTACAATTTACAATATATACTGG